GATTTGTGCATATCGAGATCCTCATATGTCCCAACAATTGGTATCAGAGCTTGAGTTAATCCGTTGTGTACAAAATCCGGATTAAACTGCTTATATTGTCTATGTGTGCTCAAGCGCAGCCATATATATTGGATTATATGCATAACTTGGTTTTGCAGGAAGTAGTTAATCCACTATTATGGCCACCCTTTTTATGTGCTTGTGCTTAATTAATGATTGGTTGTATGGTTTTAAATTTGTTTTTAAAGCCTCGAGATTGTCGAGGAATTATGGATGAATGCTTGTATTTATTGCCCGGGGGTTGACCAGATAGTTTAATTAATTAGTAGAAAACATGTACATCCACTCGTTGGATCTAGGAATCGATTTATGTAATTTTATAAATTATATTTTTCGAATTGTGATCGACCCTTGGAGACCGGGCCTTCACAAAGATCCAAAGAGACTCAACAAAGCAAGGAAGAAACCGGAGCCGGGAGCCAAGGCAGGCCGGCGCGGCCGCGGCTTCTACTGGTAGAGGTTTAGTAGAACTTGCAGTACAAGTAAACCGGGATTCTACTATAGTGGGAGTTCCAGTTGGTTTAGGACAGAAATCCTAATCCAAGGAGAATAAATATTTAATTGGTCATAATAGTGGATATTTATTTATGGCATTAATTATTTATTTGTTTATTTATGCATGAGAATAATTGTTGCCTTGTGTGCATAGAATTATTTAGAATTGCATATATATATATACATATTAAAAATCCTCATTTAAAATACTAAGTTGAGAAGGATATTTAAAGTTAAGATAATTTTTAAATTACTAAGGCCTCCATTTCTAATTCGTTGGTAAATCAATTAATTGATAGTGTGGGCTTCCCCGAGGATGACATTACTTGAAAATTAATTGAAGGATAATTATCAGAACGAATTTCTAAATTTAGACGGTTAGAGGAAATCGAATGAGAACGTGTGGGTCACCCCGAGGTGAACGTATAATCAATTTTGACGACCTTAGGACCGAGGGGTGGGATTCACTTAGAATGCGATTCATTTCATAACCCCCCGAGGGGTCCCTGATTTTTATTGCATGGCCAAAAGGTGACCGACTATTAATTTCGTTCGTCATGAAATTAGTTTTGACTAATGTAAATTAATGGGTTCTGGAAAAACCCTTCTTTAAAGAAACGAAGAATTAGTAG